CTAAACCCTAAACCCTAACTCAAAGCCTTACAGAGAAGTCTTAAGCAACCGGCCCAAGGCCCGCGATCCGAAGTACCCAAGGAGGTCGGTGGAGCCTGGCGGCCCAGATATTGAAAAGGGGTTTAGAGTTTAGGGTTTNNGTTTAAGGCTTTAAGGTTTAGGGTTTAGGGTTTAGGGTTTAGGGTTTTTAGGGTTTAGGGTTTAGGGGTTTAAGGTTTACGGTTAAGGGTTTAGGTTTTAAGGTATGGGGTTAAGGGTTAAGGGGCTTAAGGGTTAGGGTTAAGGGTTTCGGGGTTTAAGATTCAGGGTGAAGGGTTTAGGAGTTTAGGGGTTTAGGGGTTTAGGGGTTTTGGGTTTCGGGATTTAGGGTTTAGGGCTATCAGGGGCCCCAGCTATGATGGGCCTCTTTGGGAACATTCTAGGGCTTTGCAATTAGGATTTATGGTTCAGGGCTCGGGTACAAAGTTCCAGGTTTAGCTGTGATTATTCCACAAGGGCTCGCAACTACTTACACGACACTACAGGATCCAAGTAGGCATCAGGTCTAACACGGTCTCCAGGTTAGGGTGGGACTTTTCGAATGTAGCATTTCATGGGGACAGTGTTTTGCAGAGTATCGAGCAGAGAAGATTGCTGACACGACATTATTCGCGAAATTTCTGCCATTTCGAGCGCCAATGCCAAAGAAGCACTAAATCCTGTGCCAGGGATCACTTTGGAGCATTCGAACATAAACCCATGTATGTAATTCAATGTAGGAGCTCCTTGGCATACCTTTGGTGACACCTAAACCCTAGACCCTAAACGCACACCGAAAAAATCGAAATCGACCTGACAAGGAGCCGAGGCGACAAACTCGACAAGTATCGCATCATCCAGCTGCTGGGGCAAATAGAATGGTGTTTTTGGGCTCCTTTAAATCGTTCCTATAAGGGGTATTAACATTCTAGTATATTTATATGCGGATTATGAGGCAATATCAGTGTGCGCAAACTAAGGAAGGCCACACGTCGCATCAATCTGAAATATAGGGAAGACACGTCAGTCTGGGGGGTTCCAAAATCCAGGCGTTTGAGATTTAAAAGTTGGAGTTCCGGATCTTGTTTGTCGAATTTACTGTACGGTTTAAGGTTCTGAAAGGTGGCTAGTTACTAGTCGAGGGTTAGGATTTCAGAAGGTTGTTTATATCGAGCTGATCTCGTTCGTGGGTGCTGTCAGAAAGCGATCCTAAACCCTAAGCCCAAAGCCCCCAACACGAACACGCCAAAGCCCTAAAGTCTTAAACCCTAATCCCACACACCGCATGCTAAACTCAGTTGGTGTTCACCGGGTTTCTGTCCGAGTGCAGATCGGTTCCGTACTTAGATTTTAAATGTGCTGAGACCTTAAAGGAAGTCGTATATGGCCTTGTATGGCTGCTATTTTGGGTCGAAGTCTATACTGCATGGGCCCCTTGGGGCTGCACACTTCCAGCTTCTGGGTTACTGGGCTAAGGTGTAGGGTTTAGGGTTGACACAGGGTTTAGGCTTATGAGGGTTTAGGGCTGAGGGCTTAGAATTTAGGGCATGCCTTCGAGACTTATGCAGAGTTGACTGCTCTCCCTTAACGAGAACCAACCACAATCATTTGAAAAGCCACAGCCCCCCCAGGCCTTACGCGTAACTTCGAAGCCCTCAAAGCAGCCAACAGACTAGAGAATGACCACAGAGAGAGACGAGACCCCCAAACAAGGCTTTTGCCTTTCAGGAATCCGTCCAGAAAGGTCCCATAGAGACTCAACGTATAATATGGAAGCTTGAATGATTTAGAATAGTATTCCTCGTTCGTTCCTGGTTATACTAAGATTAAATTCTAATGCGCACCTCAAAACGCTGCTGTAGTTATAAGCGCGCCTACATGAGCTCGAAAGCCAGGGAACCATAATTAGCATGTTACCTAGGTCCCGGCTATGCTCCTATAGTTCAGCCCCGGGAAACCGACGTATGTTTTAACCACTAATCCCTAAACACCCAAACTGAAGCCTTAAACTCCAAGCCCTGCCATCCGAAACCCTATGTACTCCCCCCTAAGTCCATCCTGAAACGACCCCCAAACACTCCCCCAGGTGCCCGGTGACTACCGAGTCGGCGATGAAGAAGATCGAGGAGATCAACACCCTGGTCTTCCTGGTCGACTTGAAGGAGCTCTGGTTTAGGGTTTAGGGTTTAGGGTTTAGGGTTTAGGGTGCTCCCCCGTCTTGGCAGTATGGTGACAACACCTGAGGAGGATAACATAGGAGAACCACGCATAGGAGCAGTATTTAGCAAGAACTGACGACCATTAGCACTATCGTACTACTATTGATTACAACACTCATCATCATCGTAATAACAGCACGAACACCAACAGTAAAAGCAACAAGTGCCGGTGATAATAAAGATAATAGTAATAGCATCAGTTTGTGGTACAATTCTTATTTGGGGTTGTTACTGTTGCAATTAATCTCTAGCTCTCATCTACAATGTGTAGTACCTCTGTGTCCTTATCGTGGCATTCGTGTTTTTTCCTTGGTTTGAGGGGTAGGGTCAGAGGTGTTACGGTGTCTGGTCTACTTGCAAGAGCTTCGGTCCCATTAGCGGTTCTAGTGCTAGTATAGCTGATGCTGGAGGTCGTAGAAATTGTAGTTGTAGGTATGATAAACCCTAAACCCGAACCCTTATGAAACCCTAAACCCTAACCCTTATAAAACCCTAAGCCTTAACCCTTATAAAATCCTAAACCCTAACCCTTATAAAACCCTAAACCCTAACCCTTATAAAACCCTCAACCCCATTATAAACCCTTATGAAACCCTAAACCCTAAACCCTTATACAAACCCTAAACCCTTATAACCCTATGTCCCCAGAAGCTGCAAAGGCCACGAAGCCGAAGATCAAGGAGGTCTTGTGCTCAAACTTCAGCACCAGCTGAGGGTTTAGGGTTTAGGGGTTGAGGGTTTAGGGTTTAGGGTTTGGGGGTTAGGCTTCAGGGTTTAGGGGTTTAGGGTTTAGGGGTTTAGGGTTTAGGGGTTTGGGGTTTAGGGTGACATCGGGAGAGGGAGAGTGAGGGACGCAAGGGAGAGGGGCTCGAGTTCTTGAACTTGGGACTTGCGATTTAGGATTGAAGGTTTGAGGCATAGCGAAAGCTTCGAGGTGAGGCGAGCATGAGGGCATGTGCACTGCAGCGTCTTCGCACAAAAAAAGGGCTTAGCTGGGGGTTTCTAAGGGTGTTCAAAAGGACCGCTTGCCCTTGGAGGCCCTAAACCCTAGGGCGAACTAATGCTACAGTTCAGTGGGTTCTAAACAAGCATCAAAGTTAATCAAGGATGCAAAGATAAAGGCAACTGGCTAACTTGATAGGCGAGAAAGCATGAACGAAAAAGTTGATGGAGACCTTGGTATAAATGTGTGTGTATGTGTATAAAAAATTATATGTATATATATATATATATACACACACACATACACACACGCGCACCTCGTGGCTAGGTTATACTGTATCATTTTGTATGCAGGGGTGTTTGGGTTGCCATTGAAAGGCGGTCAAGCAGCTCTACGACGTCAAGTGCGCAAAGGTCAACACTCTCATTCGCCCGGATGGGCAGCTTGTCATCGGAGTATGTAGGAGTTTGGCGTTGCGGTCTGGAGTGTGGGCGTAAAGTGGGGAGGTTGGGACAAGCTGGCTAGGGGCTGGCACTTGTTGAGGGAGCAGATCAATCTGTTCAAGGATGAATTTCCGATTGGTGTACAGTTTAAGTGACAAGGTCGAGTGTGCACATCATGTCTCAGCACTAAGACACTAAGAGATTAGTGGGTCAACACACATGGCACGAGCATTATGCTGCACGATAGCAGACATGTGATCTGTTTCGACTCACCAGGCTGTCCAGTTTGTTGTGTTAGAGCGACCAAATGAATTAAGTTGTCTATGCTGATCGACTTGACCGAAATTACGATGCGATGCCGCGATATGCCATGCCAGTCTCCACGGTAGTCTTCTATACAAGGCAGTATGATGCTGCACTGATGCGTGGTGTCGTGCCTCATTGTTTCTCCTAAACCCGAAACTCTAAGCCTGAAGTTAAACCCTAAACCGTTATAAAAACTACAATTAAACACAAAACCTTATAATTAAACCCTGTAAACCCAAAGCCCTTGCTCCGCGTCTCCGCATGCTGCAAATTTTGGCTGTTCCTTAGAACCCAAAGGGTCCAAGTACAATTATAGTCTGTACTTAGCGCAATGTATGTTGCTTTCGGGTTTAGGGCTTCTGCACTGTAGGGTTTCGCGGGTTTAGGGAGGTATCACTGCCGTGTGTATCGTGACGTCATCGACTTGTAGCATCTGACATGTGGAAGCAGTGAGCCGTACATGTTCAATAACTCTGGTTATACGGTTTAGGGTTTAGGGTTTAGGGTCTGGGTATGGTCCAGCATCTACTGCAACACCCGCTCAATCCTAGCGTTTGAGAGCATATCCCTAAACCCTAAACCCTAAACCCTAAACCCTAAATATAACAACGCTTTAAGGCTCTAAATCCCCCAGCACCCAATAATACAACCTATAAGCCTTAAACTCCAACGACAGAAGGAAGCATGTCTAAGGCCGATAGCACGACACTTTGCACACTGAAGCAGCCCAAGCACCTCTAAAGCCGCCAAAGGGTCGAAACAACAATACAATGACCCTAGACCCTAAACCCTTTTCCATGGGCCGTAAACCAATAAGCCCTTAACCCTGGTCCCTTTTAGGGTTTAGGGAAGAGGGTTTAGGGTTTAGGCTAAGCCGTGAACTCTTCATGAGCCGAGGAAGAAGAAGGCCTACGTCCGCCTCACCCAGGATTACGACGCTCTGGATGTGGCCAACCGTATCGGCAGCTCGACCTCTCAGGGGTGGTGGGTTTGAGGGTTTAGGGTTGAGGGTGTAGGGTTTTAGGGTTTAGGGTTTAGGGTTTCGGTTTAGGTTTGTAGCGGTTTGTGTAATATAGGGCCCTGAATAATTAGAAACTTGAGGCAGGATCCGGGTGGAGGTGCTTTGATTTCGGAAGCTACTAGGGCCTGCCAGGGTTTGTGCCTTTGGGCTTTCGGGAGCGGCCGAGACAAGGGGCCTTTGATCAGCATGCGGCCGATCAGTAAAAGCTGCTGAACGAGCAACTTCAGAGCATGGTTGCGTAGGGGTATGTGGGTATGTAGGTATGTACGTGTGTATGTATATATGTATGTATGTATGTATGTATGTATGTATGTATGTATGTCTGTATGTCTGTATGTCTGTATGTCTGTATGTCTGTATGTCTGTATGTCTGTATGTCTGTATGTACATGTATATGTTATAAATTGAGGGCGTAGGGTGTTGGAGCGTGTGGCTCAACATGTGGCTACAGTACAGCTAAACCCTAAACCCTAAACCCTAAACTTTAAACCCTAAACCCTAAACCCTAAACCCTAAACCCTAAACCAGCCTCCCAACGGGCGCTGGGAGGCTTTGGCGTTCCATGCGATAGACCGCCTCGGAATGCCTCGAGCTGTAGCAGGATGTAATGAGCCATCACGACGGTTTTAGGGTTTAGGGTTTAGGGTTTAGGATTTAGGGTTTAGGGTTTCCATCACGATCACTTTAGGGTTTAGGGTGTGGGTTTTCCTGGTTTAGGTGTAGGTTTATGGGCTATCTCAACGACTTTCAGACAGGAGGTCTGCATGCGCGCTGCAGTTCATGATGTCTGACACCTGACGTGCTTGGATGGCTCTGGGCTAAAATCGCAAGCCCTCACCCCGGTGCTCTGTCGCTGCTTGCTTACCCAGGCATCATCTAAACCAAGACGCCGAAGGACAGCTTGCTGAAAGAGAAGGTTTTGTTAAGACTCCACGACCTAGTTACTGCTCGCAGCTCACATGCCGAAAGCCTGGAAACATCTCTGGCAAGTGTTCTGACCGTCTCTCACATTGCAAAATCACGATTCAGTAGGTTGATTGGTATTCTATGACGTAGGGTCTATACTAGGCTTTCGGTGGCTGTAGAGAAGGCTCCTTTTGGTACATATGCAGAGGTGTTATCAACAAGAACCCTACTCCATAGAAGCTAAACCTTGCACCCTTGCATGAAGTTCGGGGCCTGTCGGCGAGAATTTCTGAGTAATATAGGGCCCTTAATGATTAGGGTCTGAGGCTGGGTATGTTGTATAGTAAGGTTAATAGTTGTAACAAGGCCCAAAAACCCTACTCTAATTTTGAGGCCCCTACCTTAGCTATGGCAGCTTGGGTATAGCTTACAATGCAAACCAATAGGGAGCTTCAGCAAGTGCAGGACCAGCGTTATGCACCCTGAGGAGTAGGATCATGTAAGATGCTGAACATGGGTTCAGGGTTTTGGAGTTAGGGCTCCCCAATGGCCTTATGATTAGGGTTTAGGGTTTAGCCCTATGGTCATGTGCAAGAAGCCTACACAAGCTGTAGAAACATCTTTCTCTCACGACGCAGGACGACGGCTCTGTCTCGATGAGTGGAAGATGGCAAGCGGAGATGAACAAAAACTCGGGGTTAATGTACGGGGTCTCAAGATTCTGTTGTAGTATCTGCTGATAGTAGCTCTGCAGCTACAGCGCAGTGTGCATCAGCAATCTTCTCGACTTATCTAGAGAATCCAGAGTTCTGCAGATGGTGTTCTAATCGCGGCTCTGCGTCCAAAGCTCTAACTTTTTAAGCCAAGCATAACCCTAAACCCTAAAGCCCTAAAGCCCTAAACCCCAAGCCCTAAACCCTAAAACCCTAAAACCGTAAACCCTAAACCCGAGGCCGAGGGTCGGGACAAAGAGAAGCATAAGTTGTAACACCTCAGCCTTCAACTCAATCCAGAACCGTTACCATGCGAAGCTGTTCGGGTTGGTGGGTTCCCTAAACCCTAAACCCTAAACCCTAAACCGTAGGGTTTAGGTTTAGGGTTTAGGGTTCAGCAAGTACCCATAGGCCCCATAGCAGTTCCTTTTTTGGGGTTACCTTATGGGATTCTAAATATGAACCCCCAAAAAGGAACTACTATGGGGCCTATGGGTAGGTCCTAGTTAGGGTGTAGGCTTTAACGTTCAGCACACCTGGCACGTACGAGATGTAAGGTCGGTATGAACAAACAGCAATGTTACTGTTCGTGCTCTTACCTCAATAGCAGTAGCATCATCATGTATGTTCTTTGCCCAGGAAGGTTACTTTTCCACGACTACTAGCGCATGCATCTCCCTCTGCTTGTGGGGTTGGTATACTTTGCATGGTTGCTACTGCGTGCTGGTTTTGCTTAGTATAGAAACCCTAAACCTTAACAGCGCTAAACCCCAAACCTGCAGCCCAATACCCTATGAAAACCTCGAGCCCTAACCCTAAACCCTGAACCCTAACCCCTAAACCCTCCCAAAGCCCAAATCCTTAGGGTTTAGGGTTTAGGAGTTATCTCCGCACTGTTGTTGATCCTGGTGGGCTCGCTCCTGTACTACAGAAGCAAGAATTTCAGACAATCAGAGAGCTCAACAGCTGATTAGGAACCCTAAAGCCTATCCCCGAAGTCCTAGACCCTTAGATAAGATGCCCTTTCCCCAAACAGTAGCTTAGGGACTCTAAACCCTATCCCCAGAGCCCGAGACCCGTCGGTAAGGTGCCCTTCCCCCGAACGAAGTGTGGGGTTCGGCACGCACCTCTAAATCCTGGTAGGGTTTAGGGTTTAGGGGGTTTAGGGGTTGAGGGTTTAGGGTTTAGGGGTTTAGGGTCTAGGGTTTAGGGATTTGGAGGGTGCAACTTGGATGTGAGGTTTGTAGGGACGTGTGAACGCGAAGAGGATTCTGGACTGTCAAATCCATGCTACCTAAGACCGTTACTAAGACCGGCTCTAGCTGATCATTTCTGTCTTGCTCTGCTTGGGTTTAGGGTTTAGGGTTTAGGGGTTTAGGGGTTTAGGGGTTTAGGGGTTTAGGGGTTTAGGGGTTTTAGGGGTTAGGGGTTAGGGGTTGTTGAAGTTAGTTTTTGTCATTCGTGCCCAGCTCTACACCCTAGACCCATAAGCTCCAAACCTCAGAGCAACAAGGATCTACAACATACCCTTACCCATAGGCCTCATAGTAGTTCCTTTTTGGGGTTACCTTGTAGGATTCTACGTATGAACCCCCAAAAGGAACTACTATGGGGCCTGTGGGTAGACCCTAGGGAACTATACCCCGTGGTATACATGCGAGCCTGAGCACAGTCTTCATCACCTGTCTTTGGCTTGAAATCGCATACTCTCGTGGCCCCCGGGCGTTGGAGGCCGTAAACCTTAAGCTTAAACCTAGTTGAGGCAAGGAGAGTGTGACAAGGCTGTGCAGTGATTTAGGTGCCACTTTCCAATGATACTTTTAAACAAGGTAAGTTTCTACAATAGTGACGGTCGTCTCTACATTCGTGGCTACTACGCTTATTTCGGTCTCTGACATTGGTGCAGCTGCCTGTTCGCATCGCTCGTTCATGGCGGTGGCCATGATGAAGGCAGGTTCCGACTTCACAGCCGTCCTGAGTAGCATGGTTGTTTTTATTACCACCACCGCCGCCACAATCACTGCATTCATAAAGAGGAATGCCTTCCGCCGATCCTTATCTACATTCGCGTCATCGTTTTAGTGGTCTTGGCCCACGCTTTCTCGGTGTTCTTGTCGTGATTTCTGTTGGAGGGAGAGCTTTCTGCCTGACTTTCTCTCGCGACTCTTGCTGATGTACATGACCCTGCCTTTCATGCTAATGATACCACTGTTAATTACCTACTGCGACTACCTACTACTACTGCTACTGCTACTACTACTACTACTACTACTACTACTACTGCGACAAGACTACTGCTAACAATTAGCCTGTAGCCGTTCCACATAGTCAGTCGGACCCGTGCGCCCCAAGCCCTAAGCCATACGATAAAATCTTGAAGCCGGAAGCCCAAAGCGCATGTTCCCCCAAGCCTCAAACGCTAAGCCCGAAAACCTTAACCTGAAACAACCAGGTTCCAGCTCTGAGCCCAGAGACCCCAATACCCGTTCATTGACAGATCGAGGATGATACCGTGAATCATCCATTCAAGCCCTACATGATTTCCTAGACCCCGATCAAGCCCGAAACCAAAACGCTAAACCCCTAAACCCTAAACCTTAAACCCTAAACCCTAAACCCGAAATCAAAACGCTAAACCCCTAAACCCTGCCCACTCTGGCCATCGTGGGAGGTTCCGACGACCCGACTCAGCCGCAAGACTGTTGCTTCGGCGTTGGCCTGAAGTGACACAGGGCGGGGGGTCTAACACAGGGGCTTTGGTAATTAGAATAGGCTTCCTTTATAGGGGTTCTTTCAGGGGGTTCTCCAGGGTTACTAGAAGGATTTAGTATATATCTCCCTGACAAATGAGGATAGAGCTTGGTGGTGTTTCTTTAGTATACGTAACAATCGGACAGGAACCTTGAGGCAGAAAAGTGGCCATGACTTGTGCTTCCATGTAGGGGCTTGGAGGGTCTGGAGCTTTCGGGTTTGTAGTAGGTTTGGGGGAACTGGGTCAAGCTATGATGAGGAGGTGTGGTTTACATTATGACGTATAAACCCCCGCTCTACCGCCCTAGTAATTCAACTAACTGGGCATGTGAAAAATTTGACGTGAGAGGCATTCTGCAGTTGTGTGCAATGAACACCGGATTTACAAGTTGCCCATGCTCGTGTTGGCCGTGCGATTATGGCCTCTTGTAGCTGCTTTCCGTTCATTGTACCTTTTGGGTGAACGGCAAGTGGAAATGATTAGCTTTAGCGATCGTTCATCCCCGCTGCGGCGGAAGACTCTCGCGGGCGCCGGAGCTGGAAAGCAGGCGACCGGCTGTGGGACATGCACCTCCAGCCGCCGAAGATTCTGGCCAAAAATCTCGGTGCCGTGGTCTACAACGAGGCAGGCGCCAGCAACGCCGGCATCCTGGGGCTGCTTAAGCCCGAGCAGATTTTTGACGCTAAGCTGTTCCCCACCGAAACCGTGCGCGGCGAGAGACATGAGTTGTTCAACCGCCCGGCTATTAGCCTGAGTATGTTGGTGCGCTCCCTGCACGCCACCATGACCAGCCTCCAGGAGGGCGCCGAAGCAGGGATTTTCAGCAAGAGTTTCGCGAAAGATTTCACGGACCTCTGCATCAAGCACAAGATCGAAGAAGCCAACAAGATGCTCAACATCCAGGACAGCTGCACGCGTTTGCTGCTTGGGGTTGGGCTTCCCTAAGAGGGTCTAGGTACGAGTGAAGCTTTAGGGTTTAGGGGTTTAGGGTGCTTGTAGGGTTTCGAGGTGTAGCATGTGGCCTTCGGGGTAACGAGTTTTGATAAGGTTTTGTTCAAGCCCCTAACTAGGGGTAATGGAGGGTTTCAGAGGCTTCTAGCAATATTGAGGGCCAAAAAGCCGCAGCTTTTGGGGTGGTTAAGGGGTATCTCGGGGTTGCAGGTTCCTTCCCGCGCGATGAACCCCTGTAAGCCCCTATAAAACCGAATAAGCCCGTCTAAGACAGTCCTACAGACCGGGAAAAATCCTGGTAAACCCTTGTATACAAGACCCGGCCTTTAGCAACGCTACAATCAACTAGACAGCAGTTAAACCATCCCCAGAAGACCGTTCTCCAACTTTTCAACTAAAATGTTCCCAGAAACCCCAAAGGGTCCAAGGACTAATATGGTAGCTACTTTGTAGGTATTTGGACCCCCAAAGTATATACTATGCCATAACTTGGACCCTTTGGGAACATTCTACAAACCTTTCAAGACCTTGGCAACGCAGATCAGACCTACACGACCT